CCCCCCCCCCCCCCCAAATCACACCAAAATACTGGATCCACCAGTGCAAAAATCCTTAGGAGACCCATCTAAACTAGTGTACATGTATGTTTCAAGCCAATTTATTAGTACACTAGTATGTGTATGTACCGGTAGCAGGGGCGGATTTACATGGACGGGTATCTAATTTTTTCTGCTGGAAGACAACAAAGATAATTTGGAAGACTGTTGGTAAATAGCTCTGGATCCGCCCCTGGGTAGAGCATATTTGTGTGGCTTAGAGGTACTAGCACAAGGTACCCCCCCCTCCCCCCCTACCCCTTCCTTCCCACTTTTTCCACTTTTTTTGTTAAGGTGCAGTCATGACAAGGGAAGTTCAGCAAAATTTTGGATCAGCCAAAAGAGAGAGGTTTTTTTCTACAAGTTTTCAAAGTGTGTTGTGTGCCTTGATCCTTATGGGCAAGAACTTGAAGCTGTGATATGGACTTTACAGAGGGAACTAAATGCTGGAAGAAAATTTTAGCACTCTGTATCAGATGATGCCCCTCAGTGTAGCTATTGAACATTTAATTAAAGCTACTTTATTTGTGATGCATGTATTTATTTTTTTTTCGTATGTTGATTATAGATTGGAAATTTTCTTTGACTTAGACAAGTAATGAATAATTTATTCCAGATGACCAAGTTTCTTGGGATTTAATCATGTTGTGTATTATACTAACTTTGCCTAAAAGTTTAACTTTGTGATGACCATAGAGTTGACAAGAGTGGATTACAAATTTTACCAGTGTACTTATGACCAGTGTTAAGGACGTGCTGCAATCATGATATGATTGAGGTGATTGCATCTTGTCAGTAGCATTTGAACCGCTTTTGAAAATTGGTTAATTTTATAACTTTTTGTGTACATTTTATGTTTCAAGGTCATAATTATTTGCATAATTCCCATAGTTTATTTTGGACTGATACATCACATATCTGCACTGTTGTAGTCAAGTTTTTAAAACGGAGTGAAATATGTCTGTGAAATTACAGTATATATCTGAAATAAATGTCCTGTGATTGCTTAAATATCAACCATTTGTTGTTTCTCTGTGATCGTTTGCTCTGAAAGGATAGTTATGGATACTCCGAGTTTCTAAAGATGAAAGTCTTCCAAATTTATCTTGATATTTTGGTGATGTATTCATGCCTTCCCTGGATCAATATTCAGATGTGCCTTTACAATACTTGCAGCAGAGAGGAGTTTTCACCTGCTTTGAAACTCGGGGGAGGGGGGGTATCTGTAGATGGAATGCTGAAAATTATTAAACCTACATGTATTAATAGCTCCTTTACACTGGAAGGCATCCTTTCTGCCTTCCACAGTACAGCAACTTTATGTGCCAACAACTGGGATCATTGAGCATTCATTTTGCAACCAAAGTGATGCTTGTGCTGCCTTTCTACAACCACAGCGATGTCAGTTTCTTGGTCGCACTGTCCATTGTAAAGGGGGCTTAAAGGATTTGCTTCATACCGTCAGAATGGCTTCAACGGAACATATTCTTCAGAAAACATGCCCAACTAACGATATCTTTATCCAAATACACAAATTAAAAGCTCATTTTGTAAATATTTGGCTTTAAAAAAACGCCCTATTTGCTCGGCCTGGGAGTTAATGAGCTACGTGGTCACGTGGTCCGATGACGACAATCGAGCCACTGGAGAACAGCGTGCTTAGCTGTCAAACTGAGCTGCATTGTCTACCTNTAAATATTGAGACTTTCATCATGTGAATTTAAACTCATGGTCCTGAAACTGTAATCTTATTGAAAGGGTAGATTGAGACCATCTTCTGGGTCTTCCGGAAGACAGTCAGGTTATTAAGTTTATATTGCCTGGTATCTATTTTTTCTTCTGTTGGAAGACCATCAAAATGGAGGATGGATCAAAATAGATACTTTGGAATACTGTCAGAAAATATCTCTGGGTCCGCTCATGTTATTGACCATTTTACCTGTTGTGCATGATTAAAATTCAGTGTTGACTGACAGTGCTATTATAAGCATTATTTCTTATTGCATCAAAATTGACAAAATGACCTATTTTGCATCTTTATTTTCTGTTTTTTGTCTGTACATTTGACAGCTTTGCTGCATTATTATTATTATTATTATTATTATTATTATTACAGAGGGAGACTATGAGGAGAAGCACAAATGTGTTCAAATTCACCTTAGCCCGTCTTCGTCCCAAACCTGCTTTTAGTCCAACATGATCTATAGAAAGTGTCTTTCTCAGTTCTGTAAAACACTGTGGTCACTATAAATGTGCGCTGAAATCATGTCAATATAGCTGAAGACAGAGTGCTTTTCCATGTATAAGATAATGTTACAAATAATTTAAATTATATGACATGCAGAAGTTATTTACACCTCTTCCTTTTTTTTTTTTTTGTTGTTATTCTAACTCAAGAATAGCAAAATGTTCAAAGTCAAATTACCATAAATTAATAAATGTTTGTCTAAGAATTGCACCCAAGGTCAACAGACCTCACTCACTGTTCAGAGCATGCGGTAATGCAGTCTATTTTAGACCAGTCATACAATTCATATTGAATTGTGTTTAAATTTAACCTTAAAATGTCTGCTAGCTGTGTTTATGTAGCAATTACATGTATTTATATGAAATACGACTATCGATATATACGAACCAGTGTTGTTTAATGTGTGTGAATGACTTACCAAAAGGAGTTACTTTTCAGTGGTGGAGCCAAGTGCCCCCCCCC